GAAGGGGAGCTCTTGTCTGAAGGCCAACTCCGAGGTTCCTGCCTGGCCCGGGGGGTTTGAAGGAGTTTAGGGTAGTTAATAAAGGGAGTACAGTGGTCCCTAACATTTCTTGATTACATGCTCTTGATTATGGCAGTTGTACAAGGGGGTCTGGTTTCTGTTTCCTGACCTGCGGAGGTGCTCTGTTCTTTCTAGGAAAGAATGAATGATCTGTAGATATACAAAGAAAGGTTAATCATTCATTTGTGGTAAGGGTGCTTCCTAAAGCTTAAAGACTACTAGGTTGGTGGGACGGGCCGAGGCAGCTTCAGAGGACCTAGAAAGAATGATATCCTAGTATCAAGGAACACATCCAGCACCCAGATCTTATTTCTGAATAGTGTTCTCTGGTAAGAAGTAGGGTTCCTTGGAGAAATGATTCATTTTAGAGTTGGACCAAGGAAATTTCAGAATGATTCTGAAACATATTATAGTGTCAGAGAGTAAAAAATTGATTTTTTAAAAGGGGATGGCATCATGGTCAAAAATTCATAGGATTTAACCTGGGAGCTCTTAAGAACCAAAGCTGGAATTATTTGGAAAACAAAATAAATAATGATGCTATTGGATTATAACCCAAAGAATAAAGTAAATATACATGAATCCATATGAATTTCAAATATATATATATCTAGATAACTCCTCTCAAGGAAGTAGAACTTAATTCCTCTCTCCTGGACATAGTGACTTACTTCTAAAGAATTGAGTAGGAAAAGGGAAAAAGAGTAAATTTACAATGGAGAAAACTGTTCCCTCTCTTGCTGTGTCTCTCAAATAAATAAATAAAATCTTTTAAAAAAAGGGTACATGTTGAAGGTGACAGGGCTACAAGAAGGATTTTAGGTCCAAGTTTTTATGTTTAGGAAGCTGTCTATGATTTAGAAACCATGTCTTGGACTGCCAATGAGTGAGATAGAAACTTACTGTATTTTAATTATGTATATTTGATTTTGAACACTTAACAGTTTTTATAAGTATTGAAAAATGATTTAAACAACTGGGGGAGAGTGTTGAGATTAATTGTAAGAACACAGAAAGTTGAACCAAAAAAAATCCAGACCGTTGTTTACTGTAGAGAGAACAAGAATTTAAAAAAAGAACAAGGATTGTAAAGGAAAAGTAATCAGCATATTTTACTACCTAGATATGCAGAGCGTAGGGGCACCTGGGTGGCTCATTCGTTAAGCATCTGCCTTCCTCTCAGGTCATGAACTCAGGTCCTGGGATAGGGATGGAGCCTGGCATGGGCTCCCTGCTCAGCGGGGAGTCTGCTTCTCCCTCTCCCTCAGCACCTCCCCCACCCCCCACCCCCGCTCTTATGAGCGCTCGAGCACTCTCTCAAGTAAATAAATAAAATATTTTTTTAAAAAAAGGTATGCAGAACATGTACATCTTTATAAATCATGTAAATACTGAATATTGATCTAACTTAAAAAACTATTGGGAGGATGAAAACACTGGGAAGTATATTTGTGATGGTGGAAGGTGAAAACTGGCTAAATTTCATTTCCCAAACTTAAAGTCAATTGACAAGGCCTAATACTGACAAATTGAGAAGCAAACGCATGTTATTTAGAAATATGAAATTAAAGATCGGAGGGAGGGACAGAAAGGGCAGGGGAGAAAGAAGGAAGAAATCTGTTCATAGCAGCATGGATAAAAATGAGTAAGATTGAATCCTTGCCCTCTGGGAGTGTACAGTCTAAGTGTAATGAAGATACACAGGTAAGTTTGTTGTGTTTAAGTGGGAACATGCACAAGATGCCTCAGCAGCATACAGAGAAGGCACTTCAGGTGCTGAGAGTGGGGACAGGGGAAGAGATCAGAAGAGATGTTCCATCAGAAATGAGGGCAGGACTGAATCTTGGAGAATGAGTATGTGGTATCCAAGTGAGGGAGAAGGGAGAAGGCATTCCAGGCAGATGAAACAACATGGAGCCAAGAAATCATCAGAATGTATGAGAGGAATTCAGACTCTTCAGTATTACTGGAGAGTACAGTTCAAGGAGCGGAGACATGGGGGATAAAGCTGTGGATGCAGTTAGGAAGCAAACTCTAGAGAGCTTTCTTTGACAGGCTGGGGGGTTTGCACTTGTGTTGGGAGAGAAGAGGAAGGGATTTAAGCAAGGAAATGTTGCAATCTCTGTAGGTAATTCTATACAAAATGTGTGAATAGATTTCCAGAGAAGATAGTGGTGGACAGCAGAATTCTAAAACATGACTCCCTAATGACTTTTTCCCTTGTATAATCCTCTCTCCTTTGAGTGTGAGGGGAACCTGTAAATATAATGAGATATCACTCTAGTGACTGATATGTTATATGGCATAGCTGACGTTAAATTAGGGAGATTATCAGGGCAGGCCACCCAATCACACCAACATTTTAAAGGCAGAGAGTTTTTCTCAAGCTAGTGGCAGAAAGGGAAGTCAGAGAGAGTCAAAGCACAAGAAGGATTCATGTGTTATTGCTGGATTAAAGACAAGGGGGCTATACAAAGAATACAGGAAGCGTCTGGAAGCTGAGAGTGACCCCTAGTGGTTAGCCAGCAAGGGAATGGAGACTTCAAGGAACCAAATTCTGCCAACAACCTGAATGAGCTTGCGTCTCCAGAAGGGAATGCAGTCCTGCCCACACCCAGATTTCAGCATGGACAGAGAATCCAGCATGACATTCTGTACTACACTTCTAACCTATAGAACTATGACTAATAAATGGGTGTTATTTCAAGCTACTAAGTTTACAGTAATTTATTACACAACAATAAAAAGCTAATATAATGGGTGATGGTAGGATCCCAAGTTAAGAAACCTTTAAAATATTCCAAACTTGAGGCAAGAGAGCTTTATCAAAGGCAGTATAGTGAAGAGGAAGGTTAAAAAAACAGGGACTTTAAGGAGATAGAATTATGTAAACTTTGAAGATCAGATGCTAATGGTTAATGGGAAGGAGGAGCCCAGAATGACAACCCATTTCTAGATTAGCTCTCTAGATTAAGGATGGTGCCATTAACTTAGAAAAGGATAACAAGAAGAGAAACAGTTCTGGGACCACAAGGAGATGCTGAATTTAATTTAGTGGGGATGTCTAGTAAACAGTTGGGTACAGAATTAGAAACTTGGGGAAGAGATCATGTATAGATACAGGTAAGGATAAAGAGGAAGGAAACCTAATACTTAACACTTACCATATACCAAGCACTGTGCTAAATGTGCTAGAGATTATGAGGCATTTGATCCTCAAAGCAATCTAGAAAAGTAGGAACTATTATTAAACTTATAGTATAGATGAGGTAAAATAAGCTCAGAGTGATTAAGTAATTTGTCCAAGATAACACACATTGTAAGTGGAGGAATTTGAATTCAAGTTTGATTAATTTGACTCCAGAACCCATTCTTTTTTTTTTTAAGATTTTATTTATTAATTAGAGAGAGAGAACGAGCTGGGGGAAGAGCAGAGGGAGTGGGAGAGGGAGAGAGAATCTCTCAAGCCGACTCTGCACTGAGCACAGAGCCCGATGTGGGGCTCAATCTCACAACCCTGAGATCAAGACAAGCCGAAACCAAGAGTCAGGTGCTCAACCAACTGAGTCACCCAGGTACCCCCCCCCGAGTTCATTCTTTTAATATTTCTCTATTATACTTTTCTATAGATATGAAATACACCAAAAGATGGATAGTATAAAGTTATGACGTAATTCTATACCAATCACAGAAAAATGAAAAAAAAGTGTTGGGAATGGTAATGGCTCTGCCCCTGAATACTCCTCTTTTATAATTGAGCATGAGCTCTAGGATAACTAGGAACACAAATGAAGCTATTCCCTCTCTGCACAGAGGACCCAAAATTTTTAATGTGAACTGATGCTTGGAGAACATTGAGTACCAAGGGAACCAATGTTAACTTATTGGCAAAGGATGTATACATAAGCTCAGTAATTTCTTCCCTCAGGAGCCTGATCAAACTTCGATGCTAAATGAGCCTTGTTTCAAGATTCTGAACAAGTTGCTGAGATCCACAGAGAATAAGATAAATTCACAATATTAGCCGGCTGATGGTTTGGAGACATAAAGTTGATGCATTTGCCTTGCCCTGAAGACATTTTATGCAAATCCACAAACAGAAGGGGTATTGGCTCCTCCATATTCAGAGTTGTTGACTCCTTCGGGACAGTGAAAGGAAAAGAACACTTAGGAGTCTGGCCCCTGTGAGGTCTCCAGGTAAAAGAAAGTTGGGCAACTGAGTCCATCTAATGTTTTCATACCCATGGCTACAGCAGTGAAGAGTTGTAGGGAGGCCACTTGTCCTTCCTAAACAATTCATTGGGATTTTGAGGTAAGACTGGGTAAAGGGAATGGGCAGGAGAAGTTCACAACAGGGGAATTCAAATTTCTCCAGTTACTACATGTGTGATCTTGGAAAAGTTACTTAATCTCTCCGAGCCTTTTTACCTCTTAGCACTTTCACTAAGCTGGGTACTGAGTCTCTGAAAGGTAAAAGGGAGAGAGAGTGGGTTGAGCAGTGGGTATCACAGTAACTTTACTGTCTTGGAGCTTCAGGGATTTTCACAGGAAGTGGTCCCAAGTACAACTCTTGGCTCCTCTGTTCTCTATCTGTATGACCTTGACCAGCCTATTCATCTCTTCAAGATATTGCTTCATCTCTCACATGCGATCATCACTTTTGGTGTTCATGCTAAAGGATTTCACCCTGGATTGTGTTGGCCCAGGGAAGGTGAGGAGTTACAGTCGAGATCTGAAAACATGGAAGAAAAGGGCAAGCAAGAGTAGGAAGTTAAAGATGAAGAATCCTTGCCCTGGCTCTTCTTTCAGGGCTCTGTCCCAACAGCCACACTCGAGCCCCCACAGAACAAGGCCTTGCTCCAGACGCAAAGGGTCTGAGTCCCTTCCTGATGTGACCCTTCTCTCGTTTCCTCACAGATCACAGCCCTGCAGATGTGACTATGGAAAATGACTCTTCGGTGATGGAGTTCATCCTGGTAGGACTTACAGATCAATCTCAGCTCCACTTACCCCTTTTCTTTCTCTTCTTACTGAACTATGTGGTCACTGTGGTAGGGAATTTGAGCTTAATTAATCTAATTTGTCTGAATTCTCATTTGCACACTCCCATGTACTTTTTCATCTTCAACTTATCCTTCATAGATCTCTGCCACTCTTTGGTCATTACGCCTAAAATGCTGATGAACTTTGTGTCAGAAAAAAATGTCATCTCCTTTACAGAATGCATGACTCAGCTGTTTTTTTTCTGTTTCTTTGTCCATTCTGAGTGCTATGTGTTGACAGCCATGGCCTATGATCGCTATGTGGCCATCTGTAAACCCCTGCTGTACACAGTCACTATGTCCTCTCAGGTCTGTTCTCTGCTGATGTTTGGTTCTTATGTGATGGGGTTTGCTGGTGCCATGGTCCACACAGGGGACATGGTCAGATTGTCCTTTTGTGATTCCAACATCATCAGCCATTACATGTGTGACATCTTCCCCCTCCTCCAGCTCTCCTGCAGCAGCACCTATGCCAGTGAGCTGGTGACTTCTGTTATTGTAGGCACAGTTGGCATAATATCCAGCTTCATTATTTTCATTTCTTATGCTTTGATCCTGTCCAGTGTCCTCCACGTCTCATCAGCTCAGGGTTGGTCCAAAGCCTTCAGCACCTGTGGCTCCCACATAGTAACTGTTGGCCTATTCTATGGATCTGGGTTGTTCACACATCTCAAGACCTCTCCTGCTGGTTCTATGGGCCAGGGGAAGTTCTTCTCAGTATTTTACACCAATGTAGTACCCATGTTGAACCCTCTCATCTATAGTCTAAGGAACAAGGATGTCAAGTGTGCTCTGAAAAAAACCCTGAAGAGAATTGCAAATTAAGCAGAACCAATGTTGCTGGGTTGTTGGGGTGTGTATATGGTGTGTGTGTGTGTGTGTGTGTGTGTGTGTGTGTGTGTGTGCATGTCCCCATAATTTTCTTCAGAGCAAGGTTTTTGCTTTAAATACTTATTTCTCTGTAAGCCTATCAATTAGGCATGCAAACATTATTAAATCTCATGGTTATTCTCAGCCCCATACTGAACTGAGCTTTATTCCTAACAGCATGCTCCAGAGATTCAGCCCAATTCCTGCTTATTTTTTTTATTTAAATTCAAATAGCCAACATATAGTACATCATTAGTTTTTGATATAGTGTTCAACAATTCATTAGTTGTGTATAACACCCAGTGCTCATCACATCACGTGCCCTCCTTAATGTCCATCACCCAGTAACCCCATCCCCCACCCACCTCCCTTTCCACAACCCTCAGTTTATTTCCCAGAGTCCAGAGTCTCTCGTGGTTTGTCTCCCTCTCTGATTTCTTCCCATTCAATGTTCCCTCCCTTCCCCTGCGACCCTCTGTGCTGTTCCTTATGTTCCACATTTGAGTGAAACCATATGATAATTGTCTTTCTCTGATTGACCTATTTCACTTAGCATAATACCCTCCAGTTCCATCCACATCAATGTAAATGGTAGATTTTCATCCTTTTTGGTGGCTGAGTAATATTCCATTGTGTATATGAACCATATCTTCTTTATCCATTCGTCTGTTGAGGGACATCTATGCTCCTTCCACAGTTTGGCTATTGGGGACATTGCTGCTATGAACATTGGGGTGCAGGTGCCCCATCTGTATCTTTGTGGTAAATACCCAGTAGTGCAATTGCTGCATTGTAGAGTAGCTCTATCTTTAACTTCTTGACAGCCACATGCAGAAGAATGAACCTGGATCATTCTCTTACATCATATACAAAGATAAACTCAAAATGGATGAAAACCTAAATGTGAAATAAGATTCCATCAAAATCCTAGAGGAGAACATGGACAGTAACCTCTTCGACCTCGGCCGCAGCAACTTCTTGCAAGACACATTGCCAAAGTCAAGGGAAACAAAGGCAAAAATGAACTATTGGAACTTCATCAAGATAAAAAGCTTCTGCACAGCGAAGGAAATAGTCAACAAAACTGAAAGGCAACCTACAGAATGGGAGAAGATATTTGCAAATGACATATCAGATAAAGGGCTGGTATCTAACCAAGCTCACTTGTTCTGTTCAAGACATATAAACAAGAATGAGCAGACTCTTGTCATGGAGGGCTTCATGGTTTCCATTTGTAACTTTCTCTTTGGAGGAGACAGAAGTAACAATTATGGAGTTCTTAACAAGCGTTGTCTCCTTTCAAGTGTTATCATAATGCAAGTCTTAATGTCCTGTTTTAGAGATAGAGAAACTGAGATGCAGAAATTCAGTTCAAGGTCACACAATTAGTTCAGAGGAGAGCCCAGATTTGTACCTAATCTATCTAAAAACAAGCCCTGTATTCTTTCCATATTATCATTTTGCTTCTCAGGGCAGAATTAAAGGGGAGAGGGGAAGGAGGTATAAGAGAAGGGAGATAAAAATCTGGAGAATTATTTTAGAATCTGCCTGAAAGTGAGGGTAGGAATGACACCCTTAGCTGAAAGTCTTTGTAAGTGGAAGAATGGTCCATAAAGGTTTTAACATCAAACTAGAGAAATGCTTATGGGTCCAGAAATATTTAATATGAATTTTACAATTACATAGTATAATACTGATGAGGCATGACTGAATCTCTGTGAATACTTTCAAAAGGAGACAACTAATTATATTTTACATTTGGAAAAAAGAAAAAATGTAGTCTTTTCATAATACAAATTATCAAAAATTGAGCTCTAACAAATTTTTTGTTTTATGTGAATACAGAGATACAACGCTAATTTACTTTCCTTAATGATTCTCAGTGGGGCCAAAGAAGGACACTCCCTTATGTGCAGTATGAGGGACTGTGGTAAGCTCAACAAAGCCTCAGTAGTATCTCTGAGATATTTATGCTTAGTCGAAGGGATTGCAAGTATTAGCTTAAAAGTATGGCATATGTTAATACCTGTTAGGAACTGAGAGAAATGAACCTAATTAACTTAAATTAATTTAATCTGACTTCTTTTATAAAAGCATTGGAGATAAGATATATATATATATATATATATATATATATATATATATAAAACATATATAGATAAACCTATATATATCAGACTGTCATAATTTTGTTGACATCTCTGTCTAATCAAATAGAATTTGACCACCTAGTCTTTGTCCTTTCTCCTATGCATGGTTAGTCTAGAATCTGGCAAAATAAATATTTATGAAATTAAATTTGTGAACTTGTTAGAATTTTTCTCTAAGCCAGATTAAAAGTTTATGTTAATAAATACTGTCATTTTTTTCCCAGATAATTAACTTTCTTTAAATGCATGGCTATAACTCTTCAAGACTGAAAAGAGTCTGGTTTGATACAATAAAAAGAAATGCCATTCTTTCTGTTATAACACAAGTATTTTTCAAATTGGCTGATGTTTTCGGTAATCTGCACTCCCCATTTGCAAAATACCTTGTTTCTCCTGAAGAACTTGGATTTCCTTTGAAACAAAAAAGGAACTGTTTGGTTGGGCTACAATGTGAGGAAAGGGGCCAAGGTGACAGAACATGATACATGTTCTGTGTATCATGCATGAAGAAAAACATGCAATTTTACCTTCAGAAACTAAAATGAAATAGGGTTGGATTGTGCTATTTATTATATAGGTGAAATTAAAAACCTATCTCCAAAATGCAACCTATGCCCATCTCAGTGGAAGCTAATAAAATCAAGTAAACAAATTAGTTGTGTATGCAACTAATGTGTGGCTGTGGAATTTTTATAACATAAAAATTCATCGTGGTAGATAAAATTTTGTCTCAGGGTGGCCGCAGAAACAGAGTAAGGCATCTCTGCTATTTTGCATAGTCCTCAGGCTTGGCTTGAACTATGGTAAAAACGGATGGCATTTCAGTTTCCTCATTAGGACTGGCAGTTGCCTTGCCCTAAATCTTAGGCTACTAGAATGCTAGGTATCAGATACCACACCAGGAAAGCGATGTCATTATTGGCTTTACCAATAAGGAGTCCTCTTTCATGTAACATCAACCTCATTGGCTACAAGTTTGGTTTTTTGCCACTAAAGCTATTAGAAGTAAGTTACATACAAATTCTGCTTCTATTAAAAACTATAGGGAAGACAGAATCAAAAGGACTTAGTTTACCTGGATTGTCTAGTTTAGGCTACATTCAAACCACATTTTCAGGATATTTGGTGATATCATGGCACTTTGGTGCCTGGCTAAATTCAACCTAATATTACTTTCACTTACTGTGGACTCTAGAACCCACAACATTTCTTTAGGATTGAAAGTAAGACAAAAGAGAATTAATCCACAAGACAGCATGTCTTGTGATGAACAGATAATGTTCGTTGTCTCTCAGCTCTTGTGATGAACAGATAATGTTCATTGTCTCTCAGCTCTATACTCCTCTCTCTTCTGTGTATCTCCAAGGTTAGAAACCTGCTGCCTACATATCAGAAGCATTCCTGCAATCTTGATACAGTGATGAATAATTTGTCCCTTGTCTTGTAAGAGCTTAAAGTCTATAGTAGAGTCTGACAAGCAGTTTTATACTCACAGTGAGGATAGAGGTACAATGGTGCCCAGGCATATAAGATTGGTTTAAGAGGCCGGAAGACTTAACAGAGAAAGTAATGTTCAAACAGAAAATACAGGAAGGAAATGAGTTAACTGAACAAAGGGAGAAGTGTGCATTGCCTGATGAGAAGTCAGGTGGGAACATGACAGGGCGAGTGTATTCTAGAAGAATAATGTGAGGAAAGGGGCCAAGGTTATAGAACATGATACATTCCAGGAGGAGCACAAGCACGCAGTGAAAGAGTACATGGCAATTACAAATTAGAACTGTAAAGAAATACAGCAAAACGTTAATAGTGTTGACTTCTGGGTGATGTCTAAAGTGTGGCAGTTGATACTAGTTCTGGGTGATGTCTAGTTCTGGCATTGACTTCTGGGTGATGCTGTCTTTATCTGTCAAATAAATAAAATCTTTATTTAAAAAAACAATAAGTGCCCTCCTTAATCCCCATCATCCATTTAGCCCATCCCCTGCCCACCTTCCCTCCAGTAACCCTCAGTTTGTTCTCTATAGTTAAGAGTCTGTTTCCTGGTTTGCCTCTCTTTCCCCCCCTCCATGTTCATCTGTTTTGTTTCTTAAATTCCATGTATAAGTAAAATCATGTGGTATTTGTCTGTCTCTGACTGACTTATTTCATTTAGCATCATACTCTCTAGCTCTATCCACGTCATTGCAAATGGCAAGATTTCATTCTTTTTGATGGCTGAGTAATGTGTGTGTGTGTGTGTGTGTGTGTGTGTGTGTGTGTGTGTGTATAAATACCACCTCTTTATCCATTCGTCAGTCAATGGACATCTGGGCTCTTTTCATAATTTGGTTATTGTTGATAATGCTGCTATAAACATCAGGGTGCATGTGCCCCTTGGAATCAGTATTTTTGTATCCTTTGGGTAAATACCTAGTAGTGCAATTGCTGAGTAATAGGAAAGTTCTATTTTCAACTTTCTGAGGAACCTCCATACTGCTTTCCAGAGTGGCTGCACCAGTTTGCATTCCCACCAACAGTGTAAGAGTGTTCCTCTTCCTCTGCATCCTCTCCAACATCTCGTTTCCTATGTTGTTAATTTTAGCCATTCTGACTAGTGTAAGGTGATATCTCATTGTAGTTTTGATTTAATACTGTTCCTTTTCAATGGAGGGAAATTTTTTGTATTACCCAATCTTTCTCAAATATCATCAAGATTACAATTATAATCAGCAAAAGAAAACCACCAGATGATTGATTTCATTTTGAAAGCAATGATAATGGATGTTTGCCCTATGGAGTTTGTGGTGGGATGTACCCTGACTC